GGTACTATTCCTCTGCCTCCCGCACACAATGGAAAATAAACGGATATGATTATTACTTAACTACACACAGAGAAATATTTACACAATCGCACAAATACCTCGGCCGCGCTGGGATGCACGAAGTGATTAATATCCACTAGGAAAGCGAGGGGTTGAATCAGTGGCTGCCCGCTTTCCTGCACATCCCACCTCCAGGAAACACATTTAAAAAAGATCAGGAGGAAAAAGTTCGTTGTCCAAGTCCTGCGAAGCTCCAGCACTCAGGAGACTTATTCGGACGTGTCAGTGATAACTCATGTGATAATTGATTAAAGTGTCCGTTTTTACTGTATTAGTCATCAAGAGTCCTTGGTGGGATTTGGCGACAGGCCTGATATCCTTGTGACACCTTGATGTCTCGACGGAATATGATGATATCCTAAAGGCATTTTGAGACTGGCTGGATATCTTGATAATATCTTCTTGGAATTTGGACACAGGTCTAATATATTCATGGTATCTTGATGGAAACTGAAAATATCTTGACAGGCCTGATATCTTAATGATATCATGATTGGATTTGGAAATCAAATGATTTCTTGATGGTATCTGGACGGAATTTGGAAATAGACATGATATCTTGATGGATTTTGATGATTTCTTGATATCTCAAAGGAATATGGAGTTAGTCTCGATGCTTTGACGACATCTTAATGGCATTCTGAGATTGGTCTGAGGTGTTGATCTTTTCTTGATGAAATTTGGAGACAGGCCTGATATCTTGGTGATATCATAATTGGATTTGGAAATTAAAATCTTTATGATATGTTGATAGACTTTGAAGATAGGCCTGACATCTTCAAGGAATTCGTACATGAGCCTGATATCTTTATATTATTTTCATGAAATGTGGTGATAGGTCTGATATATTCATGGTATTTTAATGGAAATTGAAGATATCTTGATATCTCAAAGGAATGTGGAGTTAGGCTTGATACACTGATGATATCTTCATGGTATTTTGAGACTGGCTTGATGTGTTGGTAATATCTTGATAAAATTCAGAGACAGGCCAGATATCTCGATTGGATTTGGAAATCAAAATGATATCTTGATGATATCTGGATGGAATTGGGAATATACATGATATCTTGAGGATATCTTGATGAAGATAGGCCTGATATCTTATGGAATGGAATTTAGGAATTGGAATAATTCCTACTGGAATTTAGATTTGTATAATGCATGATATGTTCCTGGAATATGGAGATAGGCCTGATATCACTGTTATATTTTGATGGATTTTGGTGAGTGGCCTGATATGTTAATATCTTGGCAGAATTTGGATTTAGGCCTGACGATACCTTGTTGAAACATCAAGATTGGTCTGATTTCTTTGATAGTTTGATGGAATGAGGAGATTGCCCTGATATCTTGTTAGACTGACCGTATGTTCAGAGGAAGTGAATAGGACACAGTTTGCAGTGTCAGTGTGGGGCCACTTCCTGCCAGCTTTGCTAAAAGCAGGATAAATGAGATACGTTATTTATTCATGTGCAGGTTACAGTGGTGTGAAAAAGTGTTTGCCCCCTTCCTGATTTCTTATTCTTTTGCATGTTTGTCACACTTAAATGTTTCAGATCACCAAACAGATTTAAATTTTAGACAAAGATAACACAAGTAAACACAAAATGCAGTTTAGAAATGAAGGTCTTTATTATTACGGGAAAAAGAAATCCAAACCTACAGGGCCCTGTGTGAAAAAGTGATTTTTGCCAGAAAACATCTTGATGATCCCCAAGACTTTTGGGAGAATACTCTGTGGACTGACGAGACAAAAGTTGAACTTTTTGGAAGGTGTATGTCCCGTTACATCTGGCATAGAAGTAACACAGCATTTCAGAAAAGGAACATCATACCAACAGTAAAATATGGTGGTGGTAGTGTGATGGTCTGGGGCTGTTTTGCTGCTTCAGGACCTGGAAGACTTGCTGTGGTAAATGGAACCATGAATTCTGTTGTCTACCAAAAAATCCTGAAGGAGAACATCCGGCCATCTGTTCGTGACCTCAAGCTGAAGCGCACTTGGGTTCTGCAGCAGGACAACAATCCAAAACACACCAGCAAGTCCACCTCTGAATGGCTTAAGAAAAACAAAATTAAGACTTTGGAGTGGCCTAGTCAAAGTCCTGACCTGAATCCGATTGAGATTCTGTGGCATGACCTTAAAAAGGTGGTTTATGCTCGGAAACCCTCCAATGTGGCTGAATTACAGCAATTCTGCAAAGATGAGTGGCCAAAATTCCTCCTCAGCGCTGTAAAAGACTCATTGCCAGTTATCGCAAACGCTTGATTGCAGTTGTTGCTGCTAAGGGTGGCCCAACCAGTTATTAGGTTTAGAGGGCAACCACTTTTTCACACAGGGCCCTGTAGATTTGGATTTCTTTTTCCCTTAATAATAAAGATCTTCATTTCTAAACTGCATTTTTTGTTTACTTGTGTTGTCTTTGTCTAATATTTAAGTTTGTTTGGTGATCTGAAACATTTCAGTGTGACAAACATGCAAAAGAATAAGAAATCAGGAAGGGGGCAAACACATTTTCACACCACTGTATGTAAAGAGCTTATAGCATCCAAAATCCTTTCAAATCCCAGTTTATTGTAAGAAATCTCTTCATTGCTCTCCTCTCCACCAAGCCCCCTCTGTAGGAGACGATATAAAATGTAATAATGTGTCATAGGGTGTATCGTAAGGTATCAGAGCTGTTTCATAATGAAACATCTGCATTAACAAAAATCATGATGTAAACAGCACCAAAGGACATGCTGGTTGTTTGGTTTTGGCAGTGTGTGCCATTTGTATGTGTGTCTGGCAAAACAATCACCATTCAGAGCGAACAAAAGATCAGCGCATTAAGACAGAAACAGAAAGAAAGCGAGAGTGAGTGAGTGAGCAAGCGAGCGAGAGAGTGCTAATGAAAAAAGCCAGATGCTGAAAGTTCTCCCTAGACATTCCCTGCATGAAGGTGCTGATGGTTCCCCCACAGCGTTCAGTAATGAGAGGAAGCCTGGAACTTGCTTCTGGGAATTCCATTGTGGCCTTCCGAGATTTCCCAATTTCCCCCGTTCCGCCGGGCTTTGCTGATTGGAATGTCTGATGAATCAATTACCTACAGCGCTCCCAGTAGCGAACACAAGCCAAAGGGAAGACCATACAAGATGGAGGGGCTTTAAGAATGAGGGTCCACAGCCAACTTAAAGAAAACGCCCAGGCATGTACATCCACTGCCGGCCTGGACTGAGTCTGAGTTCACTAAAGCGTTCGGCCTCACGATCCAAAGGCTGGATTATACTGAATGAACAGTCAGTCAACAATAGATACATGGTGCAATTTCTATTTAGCTGCTGAGTTTAACACATCATAACTTTTGTACAGTCCATGTTTTAGATTTAAAACTGCAGATTTACATCAAAAAATTCAAGAAAACTTCAATTTAGTTTATGTGGCCATAGGAAATTTCAAAGTTGCACCCAGTTATTTTATAAACCTTTTTTTTTTTTTGTTATAGATTTTTAAAATTTGCCCTTTTAGGTTCTAAACTGTGTCTTAACTGAACTGAACTGAAATACTAACTGGGTATAAATACATAAAAAAATATAGCATTAATGTGATTAATATTATAATATTTAGCTTGAACTAGTTTTGTGTTAATATATTCCATCAACAAGTACATTTGATCATGTAGTATATAATTTGTGAATTTTAATTTCTTAAGAAACTGGAAGTTAAAAAATTAAGGTTTTGTGTAGTTCATCTACAACTAAACATCTATTGTATATAAATATATATATATATATATATATATATATATATATATATATACATGGCATCTCTTTTTAAGAAAAGCTTATATTTGTAATAAAAAGCGTAGTTTATTTATGTTTTAATGTTTTCTTTAACTTTGTATCCTCAAAAAGGAGCATTTATTTATTTTTATTTATTTATTAATTTATTCATTCATTCATTCATTCATTTATCATTTATTTTTTTGAAAATGAGGTGATTCACTATAGGAGGCCCAGGATAAAGAAGTGGTAAAGCTGAAAAACTGTGAGTTTCCAAATGAACATTTAGATGATCTAGAAAGTTTATTCATCTGTTTTAAGTTATTTAAAGTAAATGGTTCTTATTGTGTTGTATTTATGTCCTGTTAAAATTCAACTCCGTTCAGTCATTCTGTGAGTAGTTCAATCTAGAACCTGAAGAGGCAAACTTAAAAAAATTCACAACTAAAAAACAAAGTGGAATACAGCTTTGAAATTTTGCATAGTTGCTTGAATCAAATTTATGTTTTTGCTTGAATTTTCTCAGTAAAATCTATGGCGTGACTGGGACAGAGCATAATGTCCCATTTTAGCACACAGTTCATCCACAGGCTGCTTTTGAATTCCCATTTCTAGTATTTTAGCCCAGAAAAGAGGGATGAGGAATGAATAAAGTGAACAGCAGATGAATTTGTAGAGATTTTAATTTTAAACAGTGAGTGTGTGTGCTCGCCTGTGTAAGTGTGTGTGTGCTATTCTCGGACGGCGCGCTTTGTTAGAGATGAAAGCAGGTGGCTGTGTGAGAGAGGAAATGGCTGCCTGCGCTGGTTTGTAAACTTGGCTCTAATCGGAGGATCCGTTTGGCACCTCGCAACACAACAGGAAACACCCATTTACTCCCCGAAAACCCTTTCACCCCAAAAAAACCCTTTCACCCCAAAAGGAACCCATCCCACCAAAACCCCCCCCACTCACCCTAAACAGACCCTTTCACCCAAAAACGCTTTGTTTATTCAGAAAGCCCAGCTGATCCCAAACATCCCACCCATGCAAAACATCCCCTTTACTCAAAACATAGTTCATCCCAAGAAAGTTGTTACCTCATATGATAAATAACACACTGTTTGCACAACAGAGTCCTTTTCCTGATAATAGGACGATAAATAAACACACAATTCACACACAAACAAACAAAGTCCTCTGCTTTTTGGTTTATTACCCAGTCAATGGGTTGTTTTTTATTATCTTTACTAAAATTCTTAAAGATTAGCATTAAGACATTTGTATCAAATACATTCAGTCCATATTTTATTCAAAGTGTTCTGTAAGGAACTGTACATACATACGCAAGGAACTGAAAAGATATTACAGTTCAAGACCAGCTAGAATGATACATATACATATATGATGACTAACGTTTCTGAATATATTCATTTCTTTATTCATTTCCAGTTTTCTTCAGTCCTCAGTCCCGCTCCCACCCCTACCACATGATGCTACCAAGCTTGGAGGGTGACGGCTAGCATGTTTCCACCAAAGCTCCACCGCAATTTTCCAAACTGCCGCTAATCTAATGCAACGTCATTGGACAGCTCAACACGTTTGGAGGAGAATGCTAACTGCTAATTCTGTGTCAGCTAACAGACGCCCCCATTGGCTAGCATTGCGAGAGGGAGGACCATCCTACCCACTCAGATGGCCAGTTATGCTCCCTTAGACTCCTGCTTACGGACGGCTGTGGCATCGCTGTCTGTCTAAGCCAGCTAATGCTTAGACAGTAGCGTCGCTTCTTTTTCAGCCATTAGCTTTTTTGTACAAAAGCTAGTATTCAGCTTCATCTCTACTGTGAAGATCACTTCCTGTCACTTCAGATGTTTGGTTCTAGTTTATGGTGTTTCCCTTCACGTCACATCTTTCTGTAGCATCTTGGATGCCGAATGAAGTTATGCTATGACTAAAGTTTGGAAGGCCGTGCCTGAAACCTCACCCCTTTTGCTAGCATCCTAGCTAGCATCCCCTTTATCTGACACACTGTCGTTCAAAAGATTGGAATCACTACGATTAATACTATCAAACCAGTTTTATTGCAGATACATGTATAAAATGATAATTAGTAGGAAGATATAAAAAGAGGAAGAAATGATAATCATAACTGAGAAATAATCAGGCTTGAAGTTATAATAAATTAGCATCCAGAATGCCCGACTGGATAAAACATATACTATAAATAAATAACTCCAGTATATTGTAATAGCCTGAAATAATGAACAAAACATCAAAAAACACCTTCTGATATCAAGTTTATAACACTGTAGAAGTTATTATTGAAATATTGAATAAAATCAGAAAAAAAAGGCCAAGTGATTCCAAACCTTTGAACATTGGTGTATAAGATGCACTTACGACTATCTTTCCTTGGAACTACTTCTACCTTGTTTCATTGTTTTTTCATGAAACCTACAAACCCTAGAAGAGGGATGTGTTGACATCAACTTGCAGCAAGATTCCCCTCCATAACTCTACTTCTGCTCTCCCACCACTGCCCCCTACTGTTCATCCAGACTCCACTCCAGTCTTCTCAACACCTCAGTAGATATTTTTGGTTGATTTCGGTGAAATACGCTGGTGGAATAGGGAATGAGCAGTACCTTGTGCCGTGCTCCTCACATACACGCTCATACGCTGCTGTCCAATCTACGATTAGCATTGCATGACATACAAACATTAGCAAAAGATGTTTTTAGCGAAAGAGCTGTGGAGATTAGCTCCTCGCTAATGCAAGGAAGGAACTACCCACTGTTGCTTCATCATAGCATGAACCCATAAACACTTTTTCAAAGTAAGCATTTACTTTTTATATATTATTTTCCAGCAGTTTTAGCAATACAGCACACGCGGGTGTTGATAAGGTTAAATGGGACGAGACCCTGTCTCCTTTCACCAGTGCACTCCATTGTTTAGATGGACTTGGGATGGTGCTCCGTCTCCATTAGCTGTGACAGACACAGGGACTGATGACTTGGCAGTCGCTGAGTCTACTTCCTGTTAGCTGTGTTAATAATGGAGAGTACTTCCTGTTTGAGTCCTGCAAGCCACAAAAAAATGCGAGGGACGCAGTCGCGTCTGTTTTCTTCTTTCCCCCCCCCCTTTTCTGTCTTCTGACACATCCCTGGACTCTGCATTTCATCAGAGGCTGCTAGAATGTTGTTATTGGTAATTGGATTTTGTCAGCTATGGGTCGTATTTCCTAGACGCTGTATTGATTAGCTGAGTGGTTACTGATTTGTGTAATGTGTCAACTGATCACTGCTTGATTTATGTAATGCTGATTAACTGACATCTTACTGGTCAACCTTTGTGATGTGTTGATTAGTTACAGACTGACTTGTGTAATATATTAACTGGTCACTATGTAGTGTGTTGACATTTCTTATTGACTTGCATAAAGAGTTGAAGGGTCAACTGGTTGATTTGCCACGAAAACACCCCTTTTTCTTAAGATATTGCATGGTTACTGGCTGACTTGCGTACTGTATTGACTGGTTACTGGTTGTCTTGAGTACGACATTGACTGGTGTTACGTGTTATTTGGTCGCTGGCTGACTTGTGTAACTTGTTAAGTGGGTACTCGTTGAGCCGTTGAACAAGATGGCTGCTTAGTGGCTGACTTGTGTAACGTGTTCACTAATTACTCGTGTAATACGTCAACTAGTTACTACATTGTGTGTTGACTGATTTCTCATGGACTTGCATAAAGAGTTAACTGGATCCTGGTTGACTTGTGTAACATGTTGGTTGGTCACTGGTTGGCTTGCTTAGCACACTAAGTGGTTACTGTCTGACTGGCTTAATGTGTTGACTGGTTACTGACTGTCTTGAGTAACGTATTGACTGGCTACTGGTTGACTTGTGTTACGTGTTGACTGGTTACTTGTTAACTTGTGTAACGTGTTCTGGTTACGTATTGGCCTGTAAAGCATGTTGATTTGTTGACTTTTGACTTTTGGTTGCCTCTTGACTTGTGCAACATCTTGACCAGTTACTGGTTAACTGGTTACCAGTTTCCAGCTGACTTGTGTAAGATGTTGACTTGTTGGTTAGCAGTTGACTTGCATAAGGTTTTGACTGGTTACTTGTAGGTTAAAGGTTGACTCGTTTAACGTGTTGATTGGTTACAGGTTGACTCGTAACATGTTGACTGGCTACTGCTTTGACTTGTGTAACCTGTGTTGTCAGGTTATTGGCTGATTGCGTAACGTGTTGATTGGTTACCTCTTGACTTGTTCAACGTGTTGACCAGTTACTGGCTGACTTGTGTAACATGTTGAATGGCAGCTGGTTGTCTTGCGTAACATTTTGCCCTTTTGGTTAGTAGTTGACTTGCATAAGGTTTTGACTGGTTACTAGCTGCTGACTCGTGTCACGTGTTGTAGGTTAAAGGTTGACTCATTTAACGTGTTGATTGGTTACTGCTCGGCTTGTTTATCATGTTGACTGGCTACTGCTTGACTTGTGTAACCCGTCGACTTGCTCACTGGTTACTGGTTGACTTGTATAACGTGTTGATTGGCATCGTCTTCTTTGTGCTTTGCGCTTCTTCTGGTGTGTCTCCTGTGGGGGCGAGCACTGGACACCCACGATGACACTGTCAGTGCAAAACGGATCAGAACAAGTCCCAGGCAGGGCATGTCTGTTGCCACGGCAATCTCAGAGAACAGGGCGTGGTCTCTGGGCATATCGCTGTTGTTCTCAAAGTCCCGGACGACAGCAAGGATCTCCTGACGCTCCGTTTGCTGCACCATGCCCCTCACGTTCAACACAGCAGAAACATGCTTCCTCCTGAGAGCGAGAGAGAGAGAGAGAGAGAGAGAGAGAGAGAGAGAGAGAGAAAGAGAGAGAGACCAAGGAAGTAAGAGATTGAGGAGACAGAGATAGAGACGAAGATGGGGAAGAGGAAAGAGACAAATGAGAGAGAATCTGAGACAGAAACACAGACCAAATGAAGAAGCCGAAACAAAATAAATATGTTCAGTTGTCAGTGTGTTGTGGATCAAATGGACAGACTGAGGGCTACTAAGGCCCTCCGTCTCTGAGTGAGGTCCAACATCTACAACTCCATCATGCATCTCAGAGAAGCACTGCTGACTTCCTCTTTTTGTGTTGATCTAAACCAAATGAAGATCTTGACCTCCAAAATTGTTGTCCTAAACTTGACTACAAAGGCCAGTGATGTTATACTGCATTCCAGGAGGCCAAAAGTTGGTTTTAGAGTTTTAGAGTTTTCCTACTTAATATTATTTTTGTTAACATGATGAAATCACAAGTCTGGTTTCTGAAAGTTTGCTTCTTTAGCTCTGCACTCGAGAAACGAGGAACATTTTTTAGCTATTAGCTTTGTGCAGACTGCATGTGTAAATCATCAGACAGGGTTTACACTACATGACCTTTACCCTGATTTTAGCCCCGATTCTTATTCTGGCCGAGTCTGTGCTAGTTGGCTCTAGTCCACAAATTTTTGGGTCAGTCGGAGTCGAGACTCAAGATTTTTTGCCTCCCAATCGCGTTTCAGACCAGTCAGAGTTTATCAAACGTTTGATTTTTTCGACCCGACTCTGAGTGTATTCTACTGGTCAATGACACAATCTGAACGGATTCCTGCAACAGCCAGTGAAAACAGAGAGTGCGAAAGAAGAAAATACAGCAAGTAAACAAAGAAAAATGGCGGAAAGTCTCTCACGTGTGGAGAGAAGCTTTTTAATGAGCTGAGCTTAAAGTACGAGCACAGTCGAGTTTATGTACATTTAAAACTCTAAGAAATACCAAACTGATCACATTTTTATATGAGCCTCACTTAAACATGTTTACCTGCTCCATGTTTGTTTATGTGGGTCTCCTATAAACGGGAGAACGCAAGAGTTTGCGAGAGTTTGCGCAAGTTCACTGAGTTCTGTTTGGTTCTTTGTAGTTCTACAGTTACAGACTGTAGTCCATCTGTTTCTCTGCATACTTTGTTAGCCCCCTTTTACCCTGTTCTTCAGTGGTCAGGACCCCCACAGGACCCCCACAGAGCAGGTACTATATGGGTGGTGGATCATTCTCAGCACTGCATTAACACTGACGTGGTGGTGGTGTGTTAGTGTGTGTTGTGCTGGTCTGAGTGGATCAGACACAGCAGAGCTGCTGGAGTTTTTAAACACCTCAGTGTCACTGCTGGACTGAGAATAGTCCACCAACCAAAAATATCCAGCCAATAGCGTCCTGTGGGCAGCGTCCTGTGACGACTGTTGAAGGACTAGAGGATGACCAACACAAACTGTGCAGCAGCAGATGAGCTATCGTCTCTGACTTTACATCTACTAGGTGGACTGACAAGGTAGGAGTGTCTAATAGAGTGGACAGTGAGTGGACACGGTGTTTAAAAACTCAAGCAGCATTTCATTAGCAGTGAAGAACAGGGTAAACTTGGGCTAATAAAGGACACAGAGAAACAGATGAACTACAGTCTGTAACTGTAGAACTGTAAAGTGCTCCTATATGGTCAGTGGAGAGGATAAAATGGACAGTGTGTGTAGATAAAGGACGTGGTCTTAATAAAGTGGCCGGTCAGTGGACAGCAGGGTATTGTCTCTGAACTGTTTGGTGACAAAGCTCAGCTAAAACAGTCCGTCAACAACAGGAAACAGCAGCAATGTGGAGGTCCAGAGATGAGTTTGATCTCTTTAGACTGCACTGACAGGACAGAGAGACAGACAGACAGACAGACAGACAGAGGGATCTTCGCCACAGTGTTTCAGTGTGTGTGTGTGTGAGGAGTGTGGCACCAGTTGGTTTCCTGCGACCATGCAAGAACAGGAAGTAGTCCTCAGCTACTTCCTGTCTGCTGAGTCGGGTTGTGCGTCAGCAACCAGGAGCCCTGCCAGCCCGCAAACACACACACACACACACACAAACACACACACGTTTTTGCGCTGTTAGACACTTCTGTGACCCTGTCAATCAAACCCTCATCATAACCACAAAGAGGATCAACACCATCAAAGAACATCACTCATCTCTCTCTCCAGTCCAGCTTTACTGGCATCACTGTAAGATCCAGCATTGCCAAAGCATTATAAAATGCTCTCTCTTTCTCTTTCTCTCATTCTCTATTCTCTCTCTACTCTCTATCCCTATTTTATTCTTTTTGTCTTTCTCTCTTTATCTCTCTACCTCTGTCTCTCTCTCTGTCTTTCATTCTTTTTGTCTTTGTCTCTTTATCTCTCTCTCTCTTTATATATTTCACTCTCATTCTCTATTCTCACTCTCTCTCTCTCTCTCTCTCTCTCTCTCTCTCTCTTTCTGTGGAGGTGGTTTCTTTTACTCTTTTTTAAGGCATCTTATCCTTTCTTGTTATTCAAACATCCACATTTTCAAATTAAGTTCTTTCATTGTTATGAATAATTGATGATTTGATTGAGTGATTTGTCTTTGTGTTTTGGGCTGATGTGGTGATTTAATACTCTGCCAGCTACAGAACAATAACTTCACACTGTACAAATACATAAATACACTTCTCTGTGTTTTCATATGCAGCTCAGCTCAGATTGGGCTGTTTGGATTAACAGTGAGAGACGCATTATCAGCTGAGTCTCGACAATCTCTACTGTTCTACACGCACACACACTCACACACACTCACACACACACTCACACACACACACTCACACACACACACTCACACACACTCACACACACACTCACACACTCACACACACTCACATTCACACACACTCACACACACACTCACACACACTCACATTCACACACACACTCACACACACTCACACACACACACACTCACACACACTCACACACTCACATTCACACACACTCATCACACTCACACACACACTCACACCACACACACCACACTCACACACACACACACTCACATCCACACACACTCACACACACACACACACACACACTCACACACTCACATTCACACACACACTCACACACACTCACACACACACTCACACACACACACACTCACACACACACACTCACACACACTCACACACACACTCACACACACACTCACACACACTCACATTCACACACACTCACACACACACTCACACACACTCACATTCACACGCACACACACTCACACACACACTCACACACACACTCACACACACTCACATTCACACGCACACACACTCACACACACACTCACACACACACACTCATACACACACTCACACACACACTCACACACGGCTATCTAAACATTAGAGAACAATACAAGATTGATCTCAGTTTTTTATTCCAAATTACACGTTTTATTCAAACAGTAAACGAACACTAAACTGAGTTCGGACGTCCGTGTATTTGGATAACCATAACTATCCGGCTCTCATTGTCTCTCTAGGATTTATTTGCTTTAGCTTTTAATAAACCGTCTTCCTGTTATGTTTGCTTCGTGATTCTTATCTTGTAATTATTTTTATTAACTTTCGTATTTTTTGCAGATTCTTGTTTTTTATTAGGTTTTATGTTAGTGTTTGACTAATTGTCCTGTTTTTTAGCTTATCTTTAATTTTCCTGTTATGTTCTATTCTTCGTATGTCTTTATACATACTTGTATTATTCTGCGCGTGTAAAGTACCTCTATCTGTTCTTTTTATGTAATGTTCTGTAAAAATACAGTTTATTATGAATATTTTTAAATATTTATTTGTTCGTTATGACTTGTGTACGTCTATGTCTTTTCGAGCCCCGCTCATTCTCTATATGTCTTTTTCACAAAACAGACACCATCAGGGTTAAAGGTAACATGTCTTTGGAAAATAACATTGGGCTTAATGTAGACCTTTGGGGGACCCCATACAAGACTAAGTATCTGGAGTGATGGGGGGAGAACACCTCCCCCATATTCACTGAGAACAACTACGTTTTTTAGATTGAATTTAACTTAAGACATCAAAGGGCCCGATTTTCCAAGTTAGCCACTGGTCAAATCAGGAGAGCCAAACAGAATGACCTCTGACTCTCATTAAATATATAAAAGGTTATTGACCATCTTTCATATTCAAGACAGTCTCTTCAAAGCAGTATCATCAGCATGAAAATGAAGCATAATGTTAGTATTTGGCCTAAAGGTAACATGTATAAGGAAAATAACACTGGGCTTAAAATGGACCCTTGAGGGACCCCATAAGCGATTACAATTTTTTTCTTCACATTCACTCAAACAGGACTAACTCGGCATCAATGTGGGCCTCTTTGAGACCCCCCTGTACCCCCTCTACGGTTCCAGTCAAAGCTCTATAACACATGCACACGCAGGGGAAGCTGGCATGGAGACACTCCTTGCAGGTCTGAGTGCAGGAGGACTATTTTCAGCAAGACATTCTCACATTCTTAGGAGTTCAGGAAGGTGAAGTGTTGTGAAAAATAGTGTGTGTGCTGAGGCAGGAAAGGGCAGGGTCAGGAGCTTTACTTATTCATGAATGAAGAGCGTCTGTGACGGACAGAGTCCTGACCCGTGCTCCTCCGTCCAGCAGCTCCGCGTTTCTTTCGGCCGTTATGTAAAGTGATGAAATGCTGGGTGGTAAAGAGGTGAAGTGGAGATAACACCTGAAAAATGGGTGTTCTTTTTCCTGCCTCGCGCCACCTCAAACATCCTGTTCCACATGTCTGAGTGAATATTTGTGGAAAGTGCAAGTGTGCATATGTCCAAAAGTTTATGAACCCTTTGGAATTATGGGGATTTCTGCATGAATAGCTGATCTGATCCTCCTCTCAGTCATAAAAACCAATAAAGTCTTATTTATCAAGGAACAGTGCCATATCTTTATTGACCAAATGGTTTAAACAATGAGATACGGTAGTCCAAGTGAGATAAGACGGACGCATGATTCACCTTTTCCTGGTCACTGAAGCACAAAAACGATTTGACGAGGTGAGAACAACTGCTCTGGACCAATGAGGAGGTATGTTTGAGGTCCAAATCAAAGGTTTTTACCTTAGATTTATCATAAGACACCAGGTGACACGATTTTCCAAACTAGCCACTGGTCATATCAGGAGAGCCAAGCAAAATAACCTCTGACTTTTTCTCATAAAAGACATAAAATTTTATTGACTGTCTTTTATATCCAAGAGTCTCTTCAAAGCAGTATCATCAGCATGACAATGAAACATAATATTATTTTTTCTATTTGGGTTAAAGGTAACATGTGTATGGGAAATAACATTGGGCTTAATATAGACCCTTGAGGGACCCCATAAGTGACTAAGTGACTAGAGAGGTTGGGGGACAACAGATCCCCAGTATTCACTGAGAACATCTAAGATTATTACACCAGACAACCCAATTTTCCAAGTTAGCCACTGGTCAAATAAGGAGAGCCAAACAGAATGACCTCTGACTCTCATCAAATATATAAAAAGTTATTGACCATCTTTCATATACAAGAGACAGTCTATGTGGCCTAAAAGTAACATGTATATAGAAAATATCATTGGGCTTAATATAGATCCTAGGGGGGCCCCATATATGACTAAGTGACTGGAGATGTGGGGGAAGAACACCCCTGTATTCACTGAGAACACCTACAAATTAATGTATGAATGCCCTACAAAGATCAGTACAAGGGCAAACAAGTGATAAATAATCTGCATTCTTCTTTTGAACTTGTTGAAGTCTGTGTTTATGAGTCAGCAATAAGACAGAGACTAAGAGTGGTATTCCTGGAATACTGGCACACAGTTAACCACTGCTGACCAAGTCTATTCCTCTAAACACCATCTGGATTTTCCACATCCTTATTGGAATACTGTTCCAAGGGAAGATGAGACAGATACTGAACTTTTTGGTGACTATTGTTATGTCTAGAGAAAACAAAAGACTGTTTACCAAAACGTCATCGAAATTGGGAAGGAACTGTAAAGAATGTTGGGTCAATCTGACTATGACATTAAAACACAAGCATAAGTCAGCAAAAGAAATTACATATTTTAGATTGGCCAAGTCATAATCCTGACCTCAGATCTGTTGAAAACCTGTGTAGAGATCTGAGATGAGCTGTTTAAGCAAACCATTAACAAAATAAAGCTAAACTAAAACAATTTTGTATAGAATGTGTCAAGATACCTTCCAACTGCGTTTTATTCCACTAGTATACTAGTTTAAATTTTCAATTAAGATAGGATACTGTAAAATATCTGTTACATACAAATGATTTGTTATCATGACTTAGATGAAGATCAGGTCACACTTTACTAGCTCTTCATGGAGAAATATAGATTTTTCTATTCGGGTTAAAGGTAACATGTCTTAGGAAATAACTTTGGGCTTAATACAGACACTTGGGGACCCCATAAATGACTATGGGACTGCAAAGGTGGGGGGTGCAAAGGACCCAATTTCCCAACAGTGAGGACATATGCTGTTGTATACATGGGTTGCCAATACTTTTGCGCACAATGTTGTATGTGTGTACGTATGTGTTTATTTCTTACCGAATATCTGGAAACTCCTTGACCAGCACTCCCACCTCCATCTGAATGGAGGGCATGTCCTCCAGGAGGATGATGTCGGCCAGGTGACCAATCACATTATCCAGCCACGAACAGGTGGACTCCTGGGAGAGGGAGAGAGAGAGAGAGAGAGAGACAGAGAGAGAGAAAGACAACTATGAATAAGAGATGCCTTTTATACTTCATAAATGACAAGTCCCAAGTCATCAAGGGCTCTGTAGCAGGAGTGCAGTTACAGTAAGGGTCACTGATTTATAGCAGTTCTGCAATTTGGCAACATGTATATGCAGCACTAACTTACACCACTGTTTGTCCTGATTGCAGATCTAGAGTTGTGCTATAGGCTTTAGGCTATATGCGACATACACTATATGGACAAAAGTATTGGGACACACCGCTCCATCCTAAATTAGGGTGTTTCATTCAATCTCATTGCCACAGGTGTATAAAATCAAGCACCTAGCCATGCAGTCTGCCTTTACAGACATTAGTGACAGAATGAGCTCACTGAATTCAAGTGTGATGCTGTAATAGGACGCCTCTGGTGCAACAAGTCCACGATCAACTCTGAGTGGTATTATTGAAAAGTGGAAGTGTTTAGGAACCACATAAAGTTACAGAGCAGGTCTCTGAGTGCTGAGGTTCATAGTGCATAAAAGTCACCAGCGCTCTGCTGACTCAATAACTGCAGAGTTCAAACCTCCTCTGGCATCAACATCAGCACAAAAACTGCTTCATGGCATGAGTTTCCATGGCCGAGCAGCTGCATGCAAGCCTTACATCACCAAGCACAATGCCAAGCGTCAGATCAAGTGGTGTAAAGCGCCGCCACTGGACTCTGGAGCAGTGGAAACGTATTCTGTGGAGTGATGACGCTGGCAGCCCGATAGGCGAGTCTGGGTTTGGCGAATGCCAGGAGAACGTTACCTGCCTGACTGCATTGTGCTAACTGTAAAGTTAGGTGGAGGAGGGATGATGCTGTGGGGTTGTTTTTCAGGGGTTGGCCTAGAACCCTTAGTTCCAGCGAAGGGAAATATTAATGCTTCGGCAGACCAAGACAGTTTGGACAATTATATGCTTCCAACTCTGTGGAACGGTTTGTGGAAGGTTCTTTTCTGTTCCAGCATGACTGAGCACCAGTGACCAAAGTAAGGTCCATAGGTCCAAGTCATGTCTGGGTGTGTTTGGTGTGGAAGAACTTGACTGGCCTGCAGAACCCTGACCTCAACCCAACTGAACACCTTTAGGACAAACTACCTCTCGTCCAACATCAGTGTCTGACCTCACAAATGTCCTTCTGGATAAATGGGAAAAGATTCCCACAGACACTCTTCAGAATCTTGTAGAAAGCTTCCCAGAAGAGTGGAAGCTGTTATGGCTGCAAATGGATCAACTTCATATTAATGCCTATGGATTTCGAATGGGGTGTCATAAAAGCTCCTGTAGGTGTAATGTGTAGCTGTCCCAATACTTTTGTCCATGATAAAATGCTAAAAGCTAAACGCAATGGTTGTTGAGCAATGTCCCTTGGAACATAATGCTTGCTAGCCTCCCACCTCTATTCCCACCTGGAAAAAGGCCCCCTAAAATGAAATATTCTACAGTGGTTGGTCTGGATTGAGTTCAGTTCCACACTCCGTACAACTAAATACAGATTGTTTATCTAAAATCAGCCTCATCATACAACTATTCAATTTTCCGGAAGGCAATTACAGGCTAATACATCTTTACAAATTTACCATTTTTCAGAAACAGAAACCGTCTCAACATCTCAGTGTTACTTTCAAACATCTGTTGGTCCATTTACCATGAAATGTCCATACAGTGTAAAGGACTGCTAGCATTTTCAAACTGCTATTTCCAAAAAACACTTGTGAGGTTTTCTAAATATCTGCGTTATTTTACTGCAGTGGTTAAGTTGTCGAGTTGTTCGCCCGCAGTGATGGTCAGTGTCCGATACTGACCTCCAGCACAGAGGCCTTGAGCTGGCCGGAGGAGTTTCACATCAGACTTGACTATAAATATCCTCCCCCACATACACACACTAAATATCCTCAATATCCTCGTAGGGATTAAAAGCTCGTTTTCTTCATTTCTACGGAAACGGTCAGCGCGAGGGAAAGCCTTCAAAGACAGCAGGCAGGAAGTGGCCGAGCAGCCGACTTCCTGTTTTCAGTTAAGGTGATGGATGGGTGATTTAAGTGGAGCAGAGGACAGATAACAACAACAACAACTCCGCACATGCAGCCATAAAACAGCTGACTTTCTCTCTGAGGGTCTTCCCACATTGTCTCTCAGACACTCTCCTCAGGTCAGTTTCAGCTGAGTGCTCTGAGCTTTCTGATTCTTGAGGTCTCTGTTGAGGTCAGTCTCTGTTGTTCATCTCATATATACGTGAGTGTCCTGGTACCTGCAACATCACTCATGTCGCATTCTCGCGAAATTCGGTCAAAAACTAATCCATTATGTTTTGGTTGAAGTAAGTTGGAGTGGGACGCAACCTAACATGGGTTATAATGTAACACTGACACTGTGTCAAGTACACACTTAAAAATGATGGTTCTTCAAGGGTTCTTTAGTAAAGAAAATGGTTCTGTGTAGAACCATGAACACTCAAAGAATCCTTTGCATGATTGAAGGTTCTTCAGACTGATGGAGAATGTGTTTTATATGGTTCTATATAGCACCAAAAAGGTTCTTCTATTGTTACCGACTCGATATCGTAACAATATAAGATCTCTTTTTGGTGCTACCTAGAACCCTTTTCAAAAATATATAAACATCTACAGGACATTCTCTATCATGAAGAATCGTTTAATCATGCAAAGGGTTCTTTGAGTGTTCATGGTTCTATACAGAACCACTCTCTTTACTAAAGAACCCTTTAAGAGTGTAGAACATGCTTTTGGTGATTCTCATATCTGTGTAGCACCATCATCATTTTAATAGCAATCAGACAGATGTTTCTCAGATGTTTGCTGTTTTTATACCATACAAGTGCACTGAGCTGTGGCTGTAAGTCGCCTATTAAAACTGCTTTATTTTACTCATTTAAGTAATATAAGTAATGAGGGGCGTCCATATCCCAAACATATGAATTCAAAACAGTTATTTTTGGAACTTTTTTATCATCTCTGATATTGCCTGTATTAATGAAATTTGCCAGTGTTTGATATGGAGGGGAGGCCTCTTTTCAGTAATCCTATTTATTTCGATGCAGATATTTAGAGTGGCCTTTATTTGGAGTGGTCCTTTGTGGGTGATTAATAAGCTCTTAACAGAGTATCAGTAACACACCAACAACATATTAGTGAAGTAGCTGTAGTGAAGCATCTGAATACATTGAGGTTAATATATTGCAGATGTTCTGTTGATACATTACTTACACTAAGTAGATGTTTTGTTAATGTGTTACTTCCATTAAGCAAAACCTGACCTTACCAACCTTACCCAACACCTAAACCTCACCCTGGTCCTAATCCTAACCCTAACGTCAACCTCAACCCAACACCTAATCCTCACCCTGGCCCTAATCCTAATCCTAACCTTAACCTCAACCCAAAACCTAATCCTAACCCTCATATCGCAGCTGTCGGAACCTCGTATCTCCAAAATGGGCCCTTTACAGGAGAAGGAAAAAACATACTTTACTTTTAATGTAAGTCAATGGAACCAGACTTTTTCCCCCAAGTAATTTTGAGTCACTTCTTTTGGCCAATTCATACAGGCATAACAGGCATTTTCAAATTATGTCAAAAACTGAAAAACGACAAAAATGGAGATACAGATTTTGTTCCGACAGCAGTGATGTGTTTTTGACACGTTACTGTGAGTCCGCTGAGTGTTTGTTTCATCTAAAAAGGACCCGTCAAAATGAAGTGTCACCTAATATTTTTTACTGTATTTAGGTTGGAAAGCTCATCAGAAAACTGTGTTACTTTTATTTGGCAAAAACTAAAATGTGTCAGCTTGTGCTGCGCTGGGAAACTGCTTTTTCCATTCCTGGGTAACACACCTCTTTACATACAGTCCCAGCCAATAATCCAGCAAGTCTGCAGTTCAACGGGTTAATTAACTTTACATGTGTAGTATGTTGTGTGTTTATATGCACGTACCAGGTCTTTGAAGAGTGCTTTGATCTGTTTGGCCTCGTCCTGCAGGCGGAATGCCAGCCTCTTTCTCATTTTGAGTGAGGTGCAGATGACCCGCCCCCTCATGATGGCCCGAACGTACTCCACCATCACCCGCCTGTGCACCTCGTTCACCAGCGTCTGTCAATCACATTTACATCTATCAGTTAATCAATGAATCATTCAGTCAGACAGTCAGTGAATCAATGAATCAATCAACCAATCAGTCAATGAATCAAACATCTAACTGACCAATCAACAAATAAATCATACAGCCAATCATTCAGGCAATAAATGACTCACAATCAATAAATACTCAGCATTTGCAGTGCTAAGACTTTAAATCTCCGACCTCACAATGATTTGATTCGATTATGATTCTTTATGAAACAATTCAAAGCAAGTGTTGTTGAGGTCAACAGCAATTAATTATCAGCCAGGTCAAAGTTAATGATCAATTCAGGATAAATGTTCAATTAGTGTGAGTTATTTATAATAATTAGAAATCTGTTTAATAAAGGGAGAGTAAACATCCACTATGTGATGCATTTAACCTTTGAACTGACTGATTTGAAATGAATCTGAGTGAAATGATGCTATTGACCCCAACATCACCGAACACCACATACAGTGTGAGTGTTTTTGCGTCTGAGTGCGTGTGCGGTACCTGATATGGGGGGCAGTCCATCCTGCGGAACTTTTTAAAGTGCTGTTTGATGGAGGCCTCGATGCTCTCATAGGCCTCAGTGTTATTCAGCCATTTCTTCCTCAGCAGCTTATCGAAGAAGGGCTGCAGGACAGAGGAAACACACCTGCATGAGGTTTGAGCCGACTAATCGTCCTGTATGAGCACTTCTTCAGGTGTATCATGTTATAAGATGTTATAAGATTGTTATAAGATTTAAGGCAAAATAGGCAAAGGCTGAGGGCCTTCGCAGTGTTGGGGGCCTCCACGTCATCGTTGCATTGAAGACAAGAATAAATGATTATTACTGTTATTATGGATATATTGGTTGTCACTGGTCATAAAACTGAGTCAATGATTCAAGTTGGGCTCCACCCTCTTAATATACAGTCATATGCAAAATTCAGAATCCCAATAACTTAAATATGAGAATTTGTTCTCATTTGCAAAAACAGATTTTATTTTATTCTATTTTAATAAATTTTCATAAATCATGTCTTTTTCATTGTGCATTCCAGGCAATATCAATCAAACTGCAGCCGGGTTGTGTTGATTATGTAAAAGTAACTTTATTGATTTTTTTTTTATTAAAATTTAGTTTTTTGGCAAAAGCAGATAACTCGGCCCTGTGTATATGTATGTGTATATGTGTGTGTGTGGGTGTGTGTGTGTGTGTGTTTGTGTGTGTGTGTGTCATATCTTACCCTAATATTCTCAAACAGTCTGTCGGTCAGAACCCGTACGGACTGGTTGATGATGCGTTCGAGTGATGAGTGCGCTCTCTGGGACGAGTCCTCACTACCCAGAGGATCACACTGCCTGCAGCGCTCCACAAAACTCCTGCACACATATATTTACCATGAATTATACATGTTTAAATCGTTTTATTCCAACATGCTTTATCAACTAAACTGCACTATTGAGGCCCATATTGTGCAAAACTAACTTTTGAGAAGCTTAAAAAAAAACAGCCTGTTTTGTATTCATTGCTTCTAAGATGTTGCAAAAACTAACAGTTTTACATTTATGTAATAGTGTAGGAGTGTTTTGAATGAGGAAAAATACATGGCAGCCAATCAGAACAGAGCTCATTTACATATATCAGTGTTAAAGGCACAGTAACAAAAACAGGCTGAATTATGTAATGAATTATGACTGTTTTGGTACATAAAACCACACAAATGATATAAGTGGACCTCAGGAAAAATAATGAAACACAAGAAAAATGTAGGACAAGAGCACTTTAATATGTTTATATGATTTCTTGCAAAGTTCATCTAATCTGGCGCAGTGGAGGAACTTCTATTGTCTTTAGATATGGTGTTGGTCACAGCAAAACCTTAATATGAAAAATGTTCTTAATGCAAGTTTTCGTTAGATTTGATTCCAAGTAATTCCAGACCATTTTTATTTGTCCATTCTTCATGAAATGTTGATGCACAGAGCAGCCAGAGCTCTTTTTTCAGTGATGTAAAACATTTAAAAAGAAAAATGATGAGTTTCCTTACTGGATCCAGTTTTGTTATGTCTATTTAAATAAAGGTATGTGTAGCTGTGCGCACAGCTGTACCTGAATGGAGGAACACAGTTAGCCAGCGCGATGGTCCTGGAAACATAACCGTCACCTCGGTCTCCGAACTCTGCCTGAGTCTCATGGAACATCTCCACTTTTCTCTGGAAACTGAGCGCCCACACAGACAAGTACACACAAACAAAAACACGCATCAAAACAATTAAATTACTAGAGCAAAAATGCTAAAAAATGGGTTTTATTTGGAGATCCTCAGAGTGAGGGAATTCAGCAGCAGAGTGTAGAAGTGGTGAAGAACAAAGCTTGTTTATGATGGAGATAACAAGAACTGAAGGGTTGTCTGCTAACAAGCTAACAAGAGCTGAAGGGTTGTCTGCTAACAAGCTAACAAGAGCTGAAGAGTAACCTGTAAAAAAAGCTAGGAAACTAAAAAAAGCTAAAGAAGATCATGTAAAAAAAGTTAGCAGGCTAACAAAAGCTGAATAGTAGCCCATAAAAAAAAAGCTAGCAGGCTAATAAAAGCTGAAGAGCTGCCTGCTAAAAGCTAACAAGCTAGTAGTCTAATAAAAGCTGAAGATAGCAAGCATTTATTGGTTTGCTGGCTTGATAAGTTTTGCACCCTGCTAACTGTACGTCACTGTTGGTCGACCTTCGGACCACCCAGATTATTATCCTGCATACACGGCCTAAGTAGTTTTTAACCTCTTCAAACCGATTTTAAATGCACACAGCCTTTTATTTTGTAAAATGAACTAATATGACAAACAATTTAGAGAGAAAAAAATGTCGGTAACACTTTCTATGAATGTCACCTTTGTAAGCATCTATAAACACATTCATAACATGTTATAATGTATTCATAAGGCATTATAAACATGGTTATAAATATTTATAAAAAAGAATTACACTGAATTACATTTTATAGCCATGTTTATTATACACTATGAATTGTTAATATAATGCATTATAAATAGTGTTAATAACATGTTATAATGTCAGTGCCAGAGAAGTCAGTCCCAGCTTGGAGAGTAAAGACAGAGAGTAAAGTAAAGACAAATACCAAGCTAACGGTGGTGTACATTACCTTTCCCACATTGGGTAAAACACTGATGGCAGCTCTAGTTTAAACTCTGACATTTGAAGCCTGTAATGTGCTTTATTATGTATGTTTTAGTGTTTCAGTAAATCCTTCAGTAAATACTTCAACTTGAAGCCTCACTCTTAACACTGGAGGAGGCTTTAGTACAGTACGCTTCACTTTACTTAGAGCAGACAAATACAACTTATGAGCTCTTATAATTTGTTATGATCAGTACTTATAATGTATTATGTTAACAATTCATAATGCATAATAAGCATGGCTATAATGTGTAATGCATTTTATAAATATTTATAGCTATGTTTATAATGTCTTATGAATGCATTATAACATGTTATGAATGTGTTTATAGATGCTTACGAAGGTGACATTCATAGAAAGTGTGACCAAAATGTCTAAGCTTAATATAAAATGATTTTGTTGAAAATGTTGCTGACACTGCTGAACTGGTTACAGTTGCTTACATGAATATTGTTGTTAAAATTACTAAACTAATTTATGGATGATGTAACGGATACATAGACAAGTAAGGAAAATACATAAATTAGACTGTGAGGGGAAAAAGAGCTGAAAAGTGGAATTTTGTCTAACACTCTGCTTAGTGGGCCACCTGGAAGATACTGAGCCGCCAGATTTGTGGTCAGTGGGCCAACAGTGGCTCGCTATCCTCTATCTGGGGTAACTCACTAACAAGCTAATAAACTGGTAAGCAAACAGGAACTGAAGAGCTCAACGGCCTATTTTTGGATTAAAACACAAAAAGGTAATCCTTGTCCAGTATCATTATTATCCTCACCTATGCAGGAAGTCGGCCAGTCCACTGAGAGTGCATCTGGCCACTCGGGCGCCCAACAGCTGGCTAACACCTGTGGATCTGTCCAGGTCAACCTTCAGCCTCTGCAAACGCACACAGATGTTACCACACACTGAGAAACAGGGTGAAGTAATGCTTCATTTACTCTCCTAATGTTTTTATCTTTAAATCTTATCCTAAATATTAATGTGATTACATAACAATTCTGTAATTTCACAATTATATGTGAATAGTTATATAATGCAAAGAGGCTTAAGAAGGCCTAATGATTTATATGAATTAAAAATGACGTGTATCATTTTTAGTTCATTTTTATTTAAATAAATTCATAAATTCATTCAATTATTGTAGTAATTCTCTTTCATTGTTACTTTTCATTGATATGTTTCAGCTGGTTAAAATCTTAAAAGACCTAACAGGAAATGATCCAATCAGACTGTTTGTCCTTGTGGTATGTAGGTAGATACAGCCAGGCGAGCTCTCCCATTGGTTAGGACTTCAGGAGCTGCACTGAAGACCTTACGCATCAGACTGTCCTTATCATAATTAGCAAGTGAAAGTGGAATCGATCTTGTTTTGATTGACATTAGGTGGGACCAATTTTGTGAGAACTCTAGTTCTAGTAGAAAGTATTAGATACGTCACTGACTGTGAATATGAGTTGCAGTCTAAGCAGGTTTGGATTAGTTGTTAAGAATGGAAAACAGTGGCAGCAGCTCTGTGCCTTCACCGTAAAACTGCTCCATACAAGCTCAAATATATGTCGATGTTTCTGTTACAAGCCTCCCCTGGACTGAAGAGCTTCTTCTAATAGCCTCAATGTGCCGTTAAGTGCAGAGCAAAACAACAACAGTATACTAAGGGTAGACTTTGTTTGCATGTCTGTGTAACTGCGTTCGTGTTACCTGTATGATTGAGCGCGCCAGGCCCGACTGGTATTCTTCTATCTGGAGCGTCTGAGCCCATCTCTTCTCCTCGTCCTCCAGAACCTGAGACAGCTCTGTAGTTACCTTGTCCTGCACACATTATAATACAGGGCCACATTATAAGCTGGTATTCACTGTAATTAATTACAGCCTCAACTTAGTTGCTGTAAAGGTCCCAATGATCAACACCACCCCTTTAAGAAAATGACTATAATTACAGCCCAGCACTGAGCGCTGCTTAATGCTCATATCAAAACACTTCCATACGTTTTACAGGGGGCTTCCTGAACACAGACCCTGTCCATGGTGCTGAAACAAACCTCTTTCTAGTCCATTCCAGGACTTTATCAATGTAGGCGAAAATGGCACATTATGAAACCATTTTTAAAACTGAAAGGGGTTATTTTTAGGCTATTTAATATTTATGTACATATGTATATATACTCCAATGTATACAAACATTATGAAATGCAAATATATTGTTATTGCTTATATATACTTACATTTATTAATACAATTCATATGGGACACATTATAATTGCAGATACTTATACACACACATAGCCATATTATCATTACATATAGATACATATGGTCATTTTACATACAGGTACTTATACATAAATACATATGGGACATTATATATAATATTATATATAATACATATGGGATATAATATCATTAAATATAGTTATATATATAGGTTCTTATATGTAATACTAATTACATATAGATATATGTGTGTGTGTGTGTGTGTGTGTGTGTGTGTGTGCATGTGTTTACCCAAACAGTGTTGAGACACTCCTGCTCCAGTCTGTCGATGACTTCTTCAGGTAACAGTGGCTCGAGAGCAGCGCAGTCTATAGAGCCCATCGTCTTCACTGTGGCCAACACATCCCTGCAACACACAATCCTACAGTTAGGCTGACCAGAACAGCTGTACAAATGAGGGTTTGAGGTATTTGTGTTCTTTTTTAACACCACTGCATGTCTGATGTGTAGTACTACTATACCATGTCATATCTGGTGCCCCTTTTCCTCAACTCTAGCTACAGTATGGAGTGTAATTACTCCTATCGAAGGAATTTTTGCTATATCAGTAAACATCTGTCATTGTACTGCCAGGGCAGGAGGGTCTCATGTACGCTGCGAGAGTGTTTAGTATAGTTTCCCTCCACGCATTTTGGGACTGCAAATATAAATGCATGAGATTCTGCCATATGGGTTTCCTCCCTTTCAATGAGGAACACAAAAACTGCCATTTGAGAGCTAATAGCTTCCCATCTGTGGAGACTGCTAAACATGTGTGAGTGAGTTACATGTAAGATCCATTTCCCATCTATAAAAGGACCAGGATTCTAACCCTAACCCTAGAGATGGCACCAATGTGACACCTCCAATTAGCACTGGACCAATATCAGCATATAATGCTGGATCAGAGAGTGGAGGAAAAAATCAAAAAATAATTTTAAAAGAAAAAACGTAAATTTATCAGGAAATTTATTAGGATTTTTTGTAGCTCAACATAGCGTGTGTGAATATTGATATAAAAACAATAAATAGCTAACAACATATTACACTAGTATTAGAATTCCCTTATTGTATGTGTGGCCAAGGTGTTGGTGTTTTTTCCTTTAGGCTTGTATAGTGTTTAAGTTTACTTCTTGCCAGTGGAGTGAGAACATAGGTCCACATACCTGTTGTAGATGTTGTAGATCCAGTCCAGAAGGGAGTAGATATCAGTGATCTGCACAGGCCCAGAGGTGATGGTCTTTAGGCGTTTGGCCACAGCCCTGTGGTAACTCTGCATATAAACCTGAAGCACAGTGAAATCTGTCGGATACACTGCCAGCACATTCCTCCTCGCCGCATCCATGTCCTCCACCACCCGGCCCCTCAGCCGCTCCAAAAACATGCCCATCTGCCCTGCGGCCACACCCCCCGGCTGCGGCAGTGACCAATCAGCTGCTTCACCCACCGCCTCCGCCCACTTCTGCCTCAGCTTCCTGGGCCTCTTGCAGGAACGGGCCCCCTCCTGCAGGTCGGAGTGGGCCCCTTCGCGCAGGTCAGACCGGTCCCCATCATGGAGCTCTTTGTCCCCATCCTGTAGGTTGGCCTGAGCCTCCTGGCGCAGCATCCACACGTGGTCAGCATGTTCTTCCTGCTGGATGACGAGGACCACAAGTCCCAGCTGTGGGCCGGCACACGGTTGCCGTAGCGACTCACGCACAACATCCCACATTTCCCTCTGTAACGCTTCGTACAGCAGCTCCACGTCTTTGACCTTGCGGAGACTCGCGTCCCACGCGTTGGGGGGCTCCTCCTCACACAGCCCCGCCACCAGGGGGAGCCGCAAAGGAGAGGAGAGAGGAGGAGGGGTTATGGCAGTGGGTGTGGTTGCGGTTGGTGGGGTTTGTGCGAAGAGGGCAGGGTCCAAAGCACACTCTCTTTCCAGCTCTTGGATGTGGGTGTCGGCCAGGAGGAGGTCCCTCTGATTGACAAGCTGCAGAATTTCTAGGACTACAAGAGAGAGAAATAAGGATAAATAATCAAGTCAAAATAATGTGTAAAAATGAAAAGTAACCATGTTTTGATGAAAAAATGGATTGTTTCAGGTTTGATTATCGCTGGTGAAAACGTGCTGGAATTTCACGTTATTTCTCACTTGAAACTTGAGAGTATTTTAACCCTAACCCTGTTTTTAGTACTGTTCTGCTGAAAGAAAAAAAAAACTTTTTTATATTTTTGCCACATTTTTGTCATTTTTTGATCAGACCATCAGAAAACATCAGAGGTGCAGACTTACAGCTGTTGATATAGAATTTAAATTGAATGTAGAAGTTACACAACATATTACATAAGAGTGCAATTATGTAATTTTCTAATTCCATTTAAATAGTATATCAAAATGACTTGGGGTTCATTTCTCCAGACAGGACTGCACAACCTACCGGCTAGAGCTTTGTAACATGGGTGAAGGTATAGGGGATGAAGTAGCAGCATACATGTATGAAATGGTTGTTTTATTGCAGTCCTACTGATAGCAGGGGAATCCATAAACTGGACAAAAGGAAAGGCAAAACTAGAAAAGCAAACTAGGCCCACAAACAAACTAGAAAACTAAACAGTCTTTTGAAAATTACAAAACAAAATTACTAAACAACATTAGGAAAAAACAAGAAGAAAACAGGGGATACAGAACAAACAATGCCAAACGGAACACAAGACAAATTCTGGCTGCATCCTACCATACTAAATCAAAACAGTACACTACCGATAGTAGTGCATTCAGCAATGTAGTACGTCTAGTACAGTAGTTTGCAGTTTTAGACAGAGTCAAAGAAAAGAAGTATGCATACTGGGAGGAATCCACAAGAAACACCAACTATATGGTGTTACAAACAAGACATAGGTGAAGGGGATGATTTCACAAAGCACCACAGGAGTAGAATTGCTGATCTAGAATCAGTATTTGTGACAATGACCATCACAAACATGGAGGAATCTGATCCTAGATCAGTCCTGCTTGGTGAATACCAGCACTGGTGGTATTTGGCCCGTGAAATTTTGTTAATTTTTATACCTCGTAGTGAGTTATACTGTTCTCTAAACCACATCAGCAAGTCTGAGCTACCTAAGAACAGCTGGAGGTGGTTTGAGGGGGTTGAGAAACTGGAGATACAGTTTGGGCTATTTGGGTGACTATTGAGTTCTAGTGTTTGTTAGCAATGAGACTTGTAGCTGAAGTTCTAAACTGAAGCACAATTGGGTCTCCAAACATGTCTTGGCTGATTGACTAAATCTAGGGTAAGTTAAGAATTAAATACATTTCCTTTAAATGCAATGATAATAATGATAGATTCTTAATATCAATCTGAAAATGGACATAACATGGACTTTGGCCACCCCCTCCAAGTCCATCCATGGTCAGGTGTGATCATTACTATATCAATGATACATCCTCTTACTGCTCAGAGGCTGAAATGAAGGCCTTATGCAAGTGTGTTGTTTTCTCATTAAAGCCTGTTATCTTGTTCAGAAAGTGTTGTGTTGACACCATTTGCCTTATGTAAAGGAATCTGCAGAGCAGCGATCGTATGTCATTTCCTGTCTGAGCGCTGGCGTCTGATTGGCCAATGACTCAACAGCGGTCTGGGAACTCTAGTGGGTCGTTAAGTGTCAAGTATAGCGTTAAGGCTGCGGAAGCCTCTGACTGAACGGAACACACTTCCTCCTCGTTAACGTTACGCACTCACACAATGATGGTCTGCCATTGAAAGATTCAGGATCGCAGCAGTAAAACAGGCAGATTGGCTCTCGCGTAGGTCAGTTCAGAACAACACTCCGAAAAAAAGGAAGGTCAAGACATGGTGTTAATGTTTCTGACCACAGAATGTTCTGTAAGTGGTGGGTAAACAGGCTAAGGAAAGACTTAGGTCAGGTCAAATAAATGGATCAGTCCCAATGCACATTTGAGTCATTATAGAGAAAACTCCCTTTGTTAGCGATGATCTCACTCTAAGTGACTCACTCTTCTTCTCTTTCTTTCACATTTGAAACCAACGGTACTTTCCAAAAAATCAAGTTTGCCCAGGTTTCCCCAAATGTGATTAATAAGTGAAGCCATATTTTGTGTCTGTAGTTTCGTACAGGAGCTACAATGTATAATGTAATTCCAAACTGACTTGTATTCTGATACTGTATCACCTACTGTTATCTATACAAATGGACAAAAGTAGCTATGCAATGTCACCAGCAAAACCAGCATATTGTAGCGACCTGCTATCAGCTGGCGCTGGCCTTTAGATGGCCATAAGGCATGACCATGCTGAAGGCTGCGCAAGGAGGATCATGAGAGGTGCACGACCTCCAGAAAGAGGGACTATTTTTGTTATTTAAGTTGTTGTTTGGCTGTTAAAAGTACGCAGTAGGTGTTTATTGTGTTGTTCCATATCAGGGAGTGGATTTAGTTAGTGTGGGTCAGTGGTCACCAAGAGTGTGAAGTAGTGACCTCCCTTATGAGTTCAGTGCTTTGTAAGTGCCTTTCTGTCCTGGTGTTTAACAAAGAGCGTTTCTCTATGTCGACGCTACAATATGTTGGGTCTCACTTTATTTGGATACTTGAACATCTGTAGATAATCTTTAGTCCCCTATAGATTCTCTACAGATGTTCCAATTGTTAACAAACCATCTGTTGAAACTTGGGGTTGGGGTTAAGATGCAGACCAGGGTTAGGACTAAGACCAGGGTGAGGATTGGGTTTAGGTTTTGGGTTGAGGTTAAGGTTAGGGTTAGGATTAGAGCAGGTTTAGAGTTAAAGACAATTATGGTCAATTTATTAGATATTTAGCTGAATGTACCTTGAAAGTAAATTGACTACAAAGCATCTAAAGTGGACTATCCAAATAAAGTGTTAGCATATGTTGTGTTTTGGTATGCTAGTCAACCAGCATGAGCATGCTGGGTGGCCAGCTAAACCAGCGCCACACCTGCACTAGACATGGACTACATGCTGATCTGTGCTGTTTTTTTTTTTTTCTTCAGCAAATTTGTGTTGCTCCCTGTCCAGACTTCAATTAATCTCTTGCGTATGTGGTTTCGGACACTGTATGACCTGCTGTCATCTATAAAAAGTACAGATAAACCTCAGGCTTTGGCTGCTACTACTGTTTTTAGCTGGCCAACATACTTTCATCCAGTCTGTTTGAGAGGACTTAACAATTCTACTTGGTTAGAGGGAAGCATGTGATATTTCAGGCATGCAGTTAGCACAATGCTAATTGCACAAGCTCCTATCACCTGTTAGCTACATTAGCCTCTAGTGCAAAACTAAAGAAGCAAACTTTCGACACCAAATGTGTCCTGACTGAATGACTCTCATGTTAAAGGGGGAAAATGTCTTTTTTTTGCCGAATGAAAGTTTCAAAATGACTCACCTGAGAGCGGCTCTCTGCGTTTGACCGACGGCTCCTCCTCTGGGCTCTCCCGCTCGGCCTCCTGAGAGTTGCGGTTTGTTAGCGAGTCTCCTCGGAGCTTACCGAGGCTGCGCAGGAAGGAGGGACGCCGGTGGGCATCTTCATCATCCTCACCATTCAAATCTCCCGCAGGAAGACTCTCCCTCCGCTCACTCTTCTTCTTCCGACCCGCCAGCCTGCAGGGAAAGAGAGAGAAAGAGACTAAGACTGGAAGCTTCCAAGACATAATAATCCTACAGTCTGAGGAAAGAGCAATAAAACTTTCCGTCAAAGGAGAAAGACAGAAATAGAGAGAGTAAAGTGACAAAGCAAATAATGAATTTACACAATTTTTAGTTCTGTACTGGAGCAATAAGGTCAATGCAAGCTTCATGCCAATTATTAAGTCATCTCAGATAGGCTTGCTTATGTGGTTTTTGACACTGTACAACATACTATTATCTATTAACATGGACTAAAGCACATTAGTATAGCTAAAATAGTAGTAGCAGCCATACTGAAGCCTAATTTTGCTTCACTTTTGTCCGTGTTTATACATAACAGTATAGCACACGGTGTCAAAAACCACATAAGCAGGGCTGTTTGCATTAACTTAACAATTAGCATAATGCTAATTGGCGGGTATGAGCTTGCTACATTAACCTCATTACTCCAGTGCAAGCTCATACCCACCAATTAACATCACGCTAATTGTTAAGTCAGCACAAATAGGCTTGCTTATGTGGTTTTTGACACCGTGTGATATACTGTTATCTATAAACATGGACTAAAGCACATTAGCATAGCTAAAATAGCAGTAGCAGCCATACTGAAGCCTAATTTTGCTTTACTTTTGTTCAAGTTTGTAGTCATACTTTCTCCGAAAGTACATAATTAAGCTCATTTGAGACACAGATTGTACTACGCTAATTGTGATGCTAAGTTCTTGTTAGCTACGTTAGCCTAAGAGCTCCATTACAAAGCTAAAGAGACAAATATGTCTTGGTTGATCAGTTACAGTTGTAATAAGCCGGAGAAAACATGTAAAGTTGACTTTTCCAACTATCGCTAAGGTGTTTCAGGTAAGGCAAATTGAGCTGCGTTGGAACTTGGTGTCATTAACCCAAAACCTCTCCCCTCCCCAGCTTTAACTGTAGGTACATTTCATTCTTTATGGTTCTTCTTGGCTCAGGAGCAGCTCCAGAGGTGTGTCTTCTTTAGCCATGTCCTGAATGACTCCGTAAGAATTAATTAAACTCCCGCAGGGGTTGCCGGACATGACCTGAGGATTTTCATTGTGTCCATCCCGTGAAACGATTTTCTGTGTATTATAAATAAACAAACGGATGTGTGTTTGTGTGTTTATAATGTGAGGGAGACAGTGACTCGGCCCACCAGCTATTCACCCCTTAATGCTGCAGACTGCGAGGAACAATGAGGCTGGTATTAATAGCCCCCCAGTCTTTCCACTGTGTGATACAACACACACACCTTTCAAGCACTTTCTGCTTAAAAACACATACACACATTCACAGACTGGTAATATGGCAAAACAAACAGCTATATTACATAAGCAATATGTTTCACAATGCCCTATTTGTGAATAGCTGAAAATGATCATCCTGGAACAAATTTTAATGAGCTGTATGTTTTTAGAGGTTGTGAAATAAGCATGGTTGTCTCTGACATCCAAGTAGACGTGCCCTGCTTGTCAAAAGTGTAAGTACACATTCCTTCTGTTGAAATTAAAATTTTCTCATCGTTACTTTTCAATAAAGTGATTGAAAAATATCTGCAATGAGTTTGTTAGCATAATAATGCTATCTGCTAATACTTGCTACACTCGGATTCATGTTCATAGAGGGTCAGTTGATGTGAAAATCACTATCAGATTGTCTTAATTTTTTCAAGAAACAAAGTCATTGTGCCTAATAGAAAGTGTGTAAAAAGAGACTTAAAAAATTGCACAGCCTTATTTCTTCCCTAAAATTAGTACACAAAAATGTGCAAGTAAAATATAACTATTGATGCTATTTGTCTGAATTTTTCAGGGATAGGTTCTGTGATTTAAGGGGTATTTAACTACAAAACAGAATAAACAGAGATTCATGTTTCCCACTTTACGGCTTGCCCAATATCTCCGGAAAAAAATTTTGAAGAAAAAACTTTGGCCCTCTATTTCTCCACACAGAAGCACAGATCTTTAAGCTTTTGAATGTATTACTCATATCATAGAACACTTTTGGCAAATAGGCCTTTGTCTTATAGTAAAAAAGACCTTTGATTTATGAGCTGGTAACAATGAAAAAAGAAATCACATCATGCATTTCAAGTAACATTATTTCTTGAATTATTAATTTAATCTGAGGTGGTCAGACAAATTCTGGTGGTTGTAGGCAAATTTACCCCCAATTTTTTTATATAAACTGGGCAAATTGCTTAAATAATGATTTGACAGTTTTATTTTCCAAACTGTTGTTAAAAGCACATGTTGAAATTGTTTGGGCTTAAAAACGTAATAAAAGTTACTAATACTGTTACTTTAACATCTTTCTGCAGGCTAGTGTACCCTGGTGAAATTGAAAATGACTGATTAATATAATCAAATACTTAATGTTATAATAATAATAATAATAATAATAATAATAATAATATTAGATATCGCTGCTGTTGGAACTAAACCTCATATCTCCGTTTTTGTTGTTTTTCAGTTTTTGACATAATTTAAAAAGACCCATTGTCCAATACATTGTATGTAAATTTCATGATGAATGGACCAACATAAATGATCCAAACTGACTTGGGAAAAAGTCAGGTTCCATTGACTTACATTAAAAGCAGAGTATGTTTTTTCCTTCTCCTGTAAAGTTCTCATTTTGGAGATACAAGGTTTTGTTCCAACAACAGCGATATAATGCTTAAAGCAAATAAGTTGAATAATCCTTTAATGTTCCTTTGACAAACTCACAATGAGAAATATTCGATTTATTGACAACATTTAAGATGCTAATAAATTGCTAATAAATCAATTTTTGCAGTGAAGTTTGTAAATCATACACTTTCCTATCGTACAAATATATTCCATCAATATTGCTGAGAAAAAGAAACGCACAGTTCAACTAAGGGACCTTCAAAACAGGCCAACACTGCATTTTATGGCTACTGACAACAGAGGTTAATATTGTAGGTTACTGTAGACCAACAAACCTCAGCAGGGTCATGATTTCCTCAGATGCTCTGCGGTGATTCTTCTTCTTCTTCTTCTCCTTCCCTGAAGTGGGCGTGGTCGGAAGGGTGGAGCTCCGCAGGTTTCGCCCAGTGATGCGGAGGCCTTTGCTGAGTTTGCCCAGCGTCTTCACCGTAGACGAGCTGCAGATGCGTTCCAAGGTCCCTCTGAGAGGCAAGGTTCCCTTTGACCTGTCAGTGACCTTCAACCCTCCGTGCAACTCGGCATTTACCTCGTTCTCCAGCGCCTCGCCCTCTCGCGACGACATCACCTCATTGAAGCCCATGTCTGGATCCATGTCCTCAAAGGGGTTGAGGCTGGATGGGGGCAGGATGAGCTCGCCGTTGCCTAGGTTACTCTGCAGGTTGATCTCGCCGTTGCTGTGGTTACTCTTCAGCACCATCTCGACGTTGTCGTGGTTACTCTTGGACCTGCCAGGCAGCTTCTTCAGGATGGGCATTTTGGCTCTTAATTGGTTGATACTGAAAAATAAGAATGGCCAGCAGACACAACGGTGAAAACATAAGCACTTTTCAGTTTCGCAAATCATTACTTTTGTAAACCTTCTTTAAATCGATCTTCATTTTTGACAGTTTCTATTGGTCCATGCAATGTAAAGGACAGCGTCCATTTTCAAAATAATATTTTTAGAAAATTCTGAGATTTTAATAAGACAGTGACTGAGTTTACATACACTTAATAATCTGATAACTGCAGAAAATCAGATTTTGTCTGTAATCCAATCAACCCGTTTACATGCACTTGGGTAATCAGATAATGGGGAATCTCCAGGTCTACATGAGTCAAACAGTAATCAGATTTCTGCTTTGCAACTGACCAACAAACTCACAGAAGAAGATGTAAACGAAATGTAAAACTCAAACTTCACGCTGCGGCTTTTTTTAAAAACACCGCGCCAATTTATCTGAAAATATGAACATACATCATCTAGAAGATGAAGAATTTTAAAATCCTTCATCTCGTCAAGCATGTAGTCGGTTTCAGTGTCGCTCCAAAAGTGTTTTACTGTGTCTCGCAGGAACGCTGCTCGCTTATTTCCGGTACCGCTGCCGTCTGTTTTTGTACATACGCAGACTGAGAAATACGAAAGAAATCAGAGTAAGAGTTTGATACGGACTGAGAAATCTGATTACTGTGCTAAAATCCAGCTCTCTTTATCAGATTCATAATCCGATTTTTGGACCTTACTTCAATCTAAGAAATCAGAGTGTGCTGTTTACATGACCATTTGAATAATCAGTGACAATACGGACATGGAATCCTCATAGACTTTTATAGATTTATAGATTGTCCAACACTTCCATTTAAATTTTTAGGCAGTTTTATACCAACTCAAATAAATTACTTGTACTCCCTGCATTTATGAACTATCACAATTTGTAGAGCAGGGCGCAGCTGACTTATAACTCACTCGCTCACATTTAGCTGTCTGAAGATTCTCCACAAGGGGGAGCCAGTAGCTTTTAGGTTGCATCAGTGAGGGAAATGGCATGAACCCACACCAGCCTAGACTAAAGGATTTACCAAAAGATTCACAATAAAATACTTCACACAAAGAACCTTTTTTGGTGCTATATATAACAATTTTTAAAGTGTTCTTTAAAGAACCATATGTACAACTGGTTTTCCATTATGGAGAAGAACATCCTGAGCATGCAGAGACCTAATTATGCATTCAAATGGTTCTTTGAATGCTTATGGTTCTATATAGACCCATTGCCATTACTAAAGAAAAGGTCTGGCCTGTGGGCTGCTATTTGAAGAAGTCGGTTGGAGAGGATTAGAACAATTGTAACAATAGTTGAACTTTTTTCGTGCTAGATAGAATTATCTTTTAAAACCATATACAATTAGTTTTCCATCATAGAGAAGAACCATTTTGCCATGCAAAGAACCATTATGCTTTCCAATTGTTCTTTTAGTGTTCATGGTTCTATGTGGACTCATTGACATTACAAAGCAACCCTTGAAGCACCATTTTTAAAGCGTATAGGACACTTACAATAACATCCTAATCCTCAGATGTGTAATGTTAAAGCTGTGTAACCCCAGGCTAAAGCAGTGAGGCAGCTCATTAAGTGTTGATAGAAAGGTGAGGGGGAAGCACATTCCACAAAGCCCATAACTCTAATTGGGCCACCACACAGTGGCTGCACATTCCCACGTGTATTTATAGCTCATTCCAAGCCTCGCAGCATTTCCGCATTTTTCTACCGCCTTGGCTGCTTGTGGAGGTCCACATTAGGCTTAGTTTAAATTCAATTACATTCACTACAGCCAAATTCAGTTCAGTTTTATTAGACTCTGATTCAGGTAAACAAAATGTGTTGTACTTTTGTCCACTTTGCTTTACATCTAGCATGTAAATATTATATGCAGTATATATTCAAAAGTTTGCTGTTCATCTGGTGTTTCTTCTGAAATGAAGGGTACTAATTGGGAGTTTTCCCCCTTTTTCTGCAGTAACAGCCTCTACTTTTCTGTGAAGGCTGTGCACTAGATGTTGGAACATTGTGAGTTTTGATTGTAGTACTGCCTTCTGGATCACTCCAACTCATCCCAAAGATATTGGATGGAGCTCCATCACTCCAGAGAAGAATGCAGCTCCACTGCTCCCCTCCCAGTGTTTATACCCTTCAAGCCCACATTTGGCATTGGGCATGGTGACCTTATGGGCAGCTGCATCAGAGTGTCCCATTCTATTAGTTAGTGCCTTTCTATGGAGATTATACAAGTTTAGTGTCAATAGTGCACCTTAAAGTAGCTGACTTCAATCAGGAGGGCGTCCAGATACTTTTGGACATGTAGTGTATGGGCTAGCCTGCAATGGATTATGATTTATGTCAGAATTTAATGGGTGGATTGCAAAGTTTCTCCATATGCAGCTCTTTCATTTGCACTGGAAATGGATGAAATGATAGGAATGACTCAATATATTATTATTATTATTATTATTATTATTGCATTATTGCATTCTTATAATTCAAACCTGCCCTAACCGCCTGAATCTGGTCCATGTTAAGTGTTCTATATCCTGCCTCAGTGTCTCATTGTTCACAGGATTCCGGTGTGAGGGCTCACGCTAAGTGCATTAGCATTGTTAGCGTGTGTCGGCTTGGAAGCGGCACGAGGCCAGCAGAGCGAGAACAGCTTCCTCTCACAATCTTTTTTCATCGAGAGCTCCTTTGACCTCCTCAGAGTGATCAGGCACCTGACAGTTATTAAAAAATGCAAGTTCCATTGTTGAGGAAGATAATAAATTTTGCCATTTTCTTTGTGCTTTGGGTGCAAGATATGGCACAAGTCCCACTTCCAGGGCAAAAGTGCCTTAAGAAACTTGATTAGACCACTATTTTTAAAGGGTCAACTTTCTTGATAATTTCTATTTTTGATCAGCTTTCATGGACATTTGATATTTTGTTTTATTTTTTGTTCCATATTATTTCAAACCACTGTTTTGTAGCACTGGGTTAAAGAAAACGTCGCTATAATTGGAATTTGCCATTATTATTATTATTATTATTATTATTATTAATGCAGTGATGCAGTTTCTTCCCATTATAATGTGCTGTTATTTCCAACTTATAATGACTGATAAAGAACAAAACAGAACAAAACTGTCAGAGCAAAACTTTGTATCTCCAAAACAGTAACTTTACAGGAGGACAAAACTTTCTTATCTTTCAATGTAAGTTAATGTAAAAAGATTTTATTCTATGTTGTTTTGGACTGTTTATAATGGTTAATTCATCATTCATATAGTGTGAACAGCTGCTTGTTTTTTGTTTTAACTATGTAATTTGATGATATGTAATCTTATTCTTTGCTGGGACTTTTTTACTGGATTATAGTTGCAGGAGCGCCTGCCCACTGACTTCTGTTATAATTGTGTTAAAGTCAAGAGAGTGAGCGAGTGAGTGAATAAGGAAGCAAGTGTGGGAGTGAGAAGTACAAAGCAGTATGGGTACTGTGTCAAATGCTCAATCAAAAGAAGAAGTACTTTAGTGGAAGTCAAAAAGCCACTATATGTAATCATAAGTAGATGAAAGCAAAAAGAAAATGTTTGAACAGATTTAACAGATACCACCTTTTCACTGAAGTAGCTCTGATGCTATGCATGAGTTGTTCACACTCTACTTCACCCGGACTAGCAACTACTTTGAAAGTCTGGAATTCAAAAAATGACTAAAAGCTACAGAGCAAATTGGGCCTCCTTACAACCACCTGGAAGACCTGGTTGACCACCAAAACTGCCCCATCAGATAAACAGCACTTCAAGCTTTCATCTTTGAGAGAGAGGAGAAAATCAAGCTGCTTCAGATCTGAAAACATCCACAGGTGTTTCTGTCCATCCTTCCACTGTGAGAAGACGACTCAGCGCTGTGGGTCTGAAAGGATGTGTAGCTGTTCAAGAAGAACCTCACTGAGAAAAGGAGACGGACACATCAAACAAAGAAGCTGAACAATGGACTGACCACCCCAGAGTCCAGACCTCAACACCACTGAATGGGTTTGATTACTTCAGAAAATGATCAACCAAATTCTAAGACTGACTTTGGAGGTGTGGATAAATATTCTCACAGATTTCTTTGAGAAGTGAGTCTCCTGAAAAGAATGGAAGCTGGAATAAAGGTGACACACTGAATACTGGGAAAATATGTTATATTTAGCTGTTGAGACGTCTGGGTAATTTTCTGTTAAATATATATGTTTTCCTGATGCTGACTAACAAACAACTTGCAATTTATGTCTATTTTGAGAGGAAATTAAATAAATGAACAGTGATCTCAGCACAGTAACTGAGTAAGAGGACAACTATTCAATTTCAACTGACGAAAATAATGGAGAAACACTCGATTCTAGAGAAACTTACTGAGTCAGAATTGTTCACAGTGGTGGTGACAGGAACCAGACGTCCACCTCTAAAAGCTCCCTCACAGAAGTTTATCACATCAAATGGCTATGAATACACTGCCTGATCCCCAAGACATTGTTTCTTGATAGTTTGGTGATAAAAGTTTCTTAAAGTTTTCCTAAAACATCTTGTTAATTCATTTATTAGGGCATTGTGGGGCAAAATAGTTCCCAAAGGTAACTTATTTTTTCAGATTTTCCACTATTTTACCATCATCAATATTACATATAAAAACTTAGAAAAGACATATAGGTTTTGGATAGTAAATGAAATGGCTGTATTTGTGTTGTAGACATGGTGACCCCTGGTTTCTATCACCACCATCTGAGACATCTAAAGACATCTGAGTCTGAAAGTTTCTCTAAAATGAACCACTTCACATCAAACCACTCTGACTTTGTTTACATCGCAACCACAGAATTATGCAGAAATTTTTAAAAGTTGGTGGAATTCCCCTTTAAGAGGTACTTCACTTCTAGAACAGTTGCTGCAATACGTTCCTGATGTCTGATCTATTAACAGTATAGCTCAGATATAGTTTGCATG